CCATTCCCACTTCTCCCCATCCCCACTTCTCCCCATTCCCACTTCTCCCCATTCCCACTTCTCCCCATTCCCACTTCTCCCCATTCCCACCTTCTCCCCATTCCTACTTCTCCCCATTCCCACGTTGCCCCATTCCTACTTCGCCCCACTGGTTATCATTGTTTTCTTTTAGTTTAAAGGGCGGCATACCGGTACATTGGCATATATGCAACAGATACAAACATTGACAGTTTTAGTATCCAGCCAAGTCAGAGGTTCCGGATTCAAACAACTTGTTCTATAGGCCTAAATATGGCCTATTTTTGACTGCGGGTTGCAGGTATTAATTTTATCATATCATCTCTTCACCAGAAGTAAATAATTGCCAGAGACGAAGCGGCTATCGTGCAGTTCTGTTTTTTTTTTTAATTACCTGGTTCATTTTTCAGACTTCTACTGAGGCCACGGTGTAAAATACTTTACATGTACCGGTATACGGTGTACCTTAATGATGGGATGGAATTTCATGTACATGTAGTAGATAGACGGGCCTAATTTCTGAGGTCAATCGATCTTGCACGCGCTCTGCACGTATATGACCCGTATCGTTTTCCCAGTTCCAGATCACTTGAAATAAAAACCTACCTCCTTAGTTTTGTCGTACATGTATTCACATCAGACAGGCTCTGGTTTAAAAGTGAAATGTAAACTTCTTGTTGAACAAAACTTGCTTTCGGAAAATTTTGGCCAGATTTCAGATTCGCACTTTGACATTTTGGAACGGTAGCGGGGAAAAAATGACAAATAGTTATAGGGCGATATACATGTCACTCACTGCGAGTGATCCCAATGCCTTTTCTTCATACTCAACAGTCATATAAACTCTTGCATAATGTCTGTTCAATCAAAATGACTTTCAAAGTTGCGTTAAACAGGCTGAAAACTGAATGCATATTGTTTCCTAGTTTTGGATCACACATTAAGTGCATGCAATATACTTTGCGAACTCATCGTGACGTAATGGGTTCGTCAACTGTGCGGCACGAGATCGTACTGTTGATGGCTCATGTTGTGCAGCTGAAAAAAGTCGAAATTTACACAAGATCCAATTTTTTAATTTATTGTAATTCTATTTATGAATCAAGTTTCCTAAATTGAGAAATTTTTCATTAGAAAATAATTTTTTCATAATGGTTCTGGCTGAAAATAAATTTGCCGCTCGCTTCGTTACTTTCCGGAAACCGATCCAGAACGACAAAAGGGAGTATCACCACTTTCGTCGATCCTCTACGTCCGAATTAACTGTGGTATCTCTATCACACAAGGTGGATGGTGACCACATTCACTGGAATTTGAGAATTTTCGTAGAG